CAGCTTTGCATCCGTTTCAGCTGAATCGCATTAAACCTCGATGGCTTTTCTTCAACTGGTGAGACTTTTCATTGGGAAATCTGGGAAATCAGTCTGTTTCTTGCAAGCTTCTACTGCAGTTTGAGGAGTAGTCCTCACGCCTAACCACCCTATTCTTTATCACAACATTCTTTGTTTAAACTTGTAAATAAGAGATAAGCCGGTGCCGGTCAAGTGCATTCCCGTGGGTCAGGGTCACTTGAAGAAGATTTGAAGTTCCAGTTTATTCCAGTTTCTGATCTTTTACACCTGTTTGGTAACATAGTGATAGAGAGCCAATCAGAAATGTATTAGGGAAGCATAGATCAATTGAATGGACAATGTCTTAACATCAATTTAATTTCTGTAAAACAATAAAAGATCGCAACTCCATCTTGGGGGTGTGCAGTATTTTCATGCCCAAAACATAGCTGCCACCATTTGCTTTGGCCAGCAAAAAAAAGCTATCTTTGGAGAGATTCAACTCGTTGGTGCGTTCCTTCTGTGCTGCCTTCCCGAGTCAGAAGGGGACTTCTGAGAATGTGCAAAGTGCATGCTCCTTCAATGGGTGTTGCCAGGCTTCACTGATAAACCTCCTTGAAAACAAGGCAGCCCATGGAGAGTTACTCTGGTTCAGAAGGCACCAGGGTGAGCCATGATGTGTTTGGAGGAATGTCAGAGACCCAGGCTTGTGAGCTCATGGGAATATCAAGTACAGGAGCTGAGGAGAGAAATAGCACAACTGCAGGATCTAGTCTGGTGGGTGGGAAAAGGGATGGCAGCAGGTCCAAAAGAGAGGGAACCAGGCCCCTTGGCATTGATTCCTAAGGGTGTGCACAGTTCCATTTTGTGATTCAGTATTTGGTAAAGTTCAGTGATCCAGCAGCAGGAATGCTGAAAATGGACTGTGTGGGGCCAGCCAAATCCTCAGCTGGAATGAACCACGTAGTGCCAGATCCTTCAGCTGCATTCTGGAGATTTGACTGCTCCGTGATTAACAAGAGGAACCGCATGTGTGTTTTTCCCCATTATCCTTGCCAGAGCCAATCAGAAGAAGAAAGCGGATCACGTGTCTTTTGGCAAAGCTGGTCAATACATACTAGGGCAAGCTCCTCCATTTTTCTATGGCATTTGAGAGAGAGAGAGAGAGAGAGATTGTGTGCTAGCTAGCTCCGTGTTCTGTCTCTGTGCCATCACTGCTTAGGATCACTTTTTGAGAACACCAGTCTTTTTCTTCTGTACTATATCAATAAATGTTCTTACTTGATATCTTCCTTTTGTCCTTGTGTTAGCCCATCATGTTTCTGAATGTTTCACTCATCCACAGATTTTGGGGGACTTTTCAAAGTTTTTACAAGTAACAGTTTAAAAAACTACGAGCATTATCTTCATGAATTTCCTGTACAATAACACAAGATAATGGGGAATCATTCCCTCCCCACGTTTCAGAAATATTTTTACATCTCCTGATTTTGGGGATTTTTTTTTTTTACATTTTGACAAAAACATTTTTTTTAAAAAAGTCACAACAGCTATTTTATTGAATGTCTTTAACCAGTAGAAGTTAAATTTAGGGATTTCTTCCCAGCCCAGCACAGACTGACCTACTACTGTTGAAGTATCAGTCAGCCCTCCTCTTTGCAGATTCACTTGGAACTCTGGTTGTTGTAGGAGGGACCAATCTCTCCTCTACCTTAAGTAGAGATTCCTGATATTGAGCAGAATTCTGGAAAATGTAGTTTAGGGCAGGGCCTTAGGCATTCTCTGGCATAGGTTTCCTCGCCTTCCCAAACTACATTGCTCAGAACTCTGTGTGAGATGTTGCAACGGTTGATAAGGTGGATAGACATGGTGGAAAAGGTACATGAACAAAATGTTGAAACACTGGTTGCTGATAAAAGTCAAGATTTTTGTGTTTATTTCTCAATGACCGGTGTCCATCTCTTAGCTAATCAGCAGCAGAGGTGGCACCTGGCCAATCAGGGGCTGGGGAGGGAATTTCAAAACTAGACAATGTTAATGAATGAGGGTTTTTTTTTCCTTTTTTTATTTATTTATTGTAGCTTTAACATATTCAGTATTTAAACATTCTTCTACTTATCACTTCCCATTAACAATTGTACAGAACATGTATATCTTGATAGCTATAATATTTCATTCTCCTGCTTCAATACATCCAATCACCCAGTGCTAACCCTTCACCCCCGACCAGCCAATTACAATATTTATTCCCAAAAATCAGTTGTTTCTATTACAGGTTTGGTCCCCTTACCTTCTATATATACATATTCTATCAATTTCCCCCAAATCTTCCCAAAATCATCTTTTATTGATAATCCTCTTTTAACCTTAATGTTTCCCGTCAGTTTATCGTTTATTGCGATGTCCCAAATCTCCCTATACCACTCTTCCAATTGGCACTCCCCTCCTTCTTTCCATTTTTTAGCTATTAATAATCTTGCTTATGGTCCACACGTGCATAATGGTCCACCAAGTGTAGTTAAATACGTCTTGGTCATAAAGTGGTGTGGAGATGGTACCTCACACCAATCAGATTAAATCAAATTGACAAGAAACATTCTAAGCAGTGCTGGAGGGGCTGTCAAGAAACTGGCACATATAGACACATGTGGTGGTCTTGCAAATATGTTCAAAAATTTTGGGAAAATGTATTTCAAGAAATAAGAAGAATCACCCAAATAGAGATAACAGGAACACCGGAGATAGCACTGCTGTCATTTATTGACAATGTTAAAATACCAAAAGAACTAAAAGAATTAATTGCCAATCTTATGAATGAGGGTTTTACTGTATAAAAGTTACTGGATATCCCATAATGTTTATGCTTGTACATTTCAGTATCCATTGCTGTACAGTGCATCCCTTCTACAGACTGAATAAAGCCTCTGTCATTTGCCTTTGCCTGGTGAGTCCTTTCCAGAACATTGGCAGTTCATGGACCTTGCCAGGCAATGGGCCCTCCTTTTCCACGGTCCTTAGAGAACTAAATTTCAACTTCACTTCCTCCCTTCCTTTTACTGCCTGAAATCTCAGGTCCTCCCAGTGTGCCTGAGCCCCGAACGATACCAATAGCAAACATCCAGGGTGAAGGCAGGAAAATAAGGTGTTTATTCCTCAACGACCAAAGCAGATGTGGGGGGATGCAGTGAAAATCCCACATCTGAACATGCCTTCCAGTTACAATAATTAATACTTTATAGATGTTGAACAGACATTGCAAAGAGTTGGGCTTGGAGATGGAATGTAGGTTGGATCTTGGCCCAACGGGTGTTTGATACTGGTCCCATGGTGTCCAGATATCTTGATTGGTCCATTGACTAAGACCAAAGGGCAAGAAGGTGGGTTGAGGAGCTTGTGGGCTGTGCTGGGAAGGAACTATTTGTGAGACAGGAGGATCAGCTGATGTGTGTTCCATTTATTGTGAAGGGTGCAAGTGAAGAGGTGAGTGTCATGATCTCTATCTCATGCAATCCAACTATCCGCCTTTCTGACACACACATGTTTCCATGGGCCAAAATGGAGGTCAGAACATATGAACCAGCCATAAAAGTCAATTGCTCCAAGGTGGGGGCAAAGTGGGCTCTGGAAAGTGGAATGGGGCTAGCTCATGGCACTCTTGAGTGATTTATAATATTGTAGCTAGGCCTATATAGACAGGTGTCCACGAGACTCTTGTATTCTGTAGCGCCAGACTCTTGTATTCTGAGAAATAAAGACATTTGGTATCTTCAGCGCTTGTGCATCTCTGCATGGTTTTTTTCAGAAAAATGTGATCCACAGCAACACAAGTTGGAAATCAGAAACCTCACAGTCAGTGGTGTTTGTGCGTACTTTGTGAAAGAGTGAGGCAAGACCTGAGACGAATGACCCTGCTTAATTTTGGAGTGGAGCCTAGAGGAATTCTCCAATTTTGGGCTCCATGGTCTGGGTTTTAACTCACCCTTAATTCTTTCCATCCTTTTTGGTCTTTCACTCCCCCACCCCACCCTAATCCACTCCTTCTACTTCCCGTCTGTTGATCCTTCCAGCTTCCAAAGAAGTGTCCTTCTCCCTCTCTGATTCTCTCTCAGTTTGCTTTCCCTTCTTTCCTTGGTTCTTGTATTCTATCTCACTCTTTTTTTCACTCTTTAGCAGGTGGGCACTCCTTAAATTTGAGCAAAGGACTCAACTGGGGCTGAAGGTTGAGCATACCAGGCTGCTAAAGAGGGGAGACATGGGGAAAACTGAGAAGAAGAAGACCAGGAAAAGAGAGATAAAGTGAGAAAGAGAGACCAGAGCAGGGAGGTATTGCAGAGAAGACGTGGCATTGAGGAAGAGGGAGGGAGAAGAGAAATGAAGACAAACAGGATCTCACCACATAAAGGGAATGTGTATCAGAGGGAGGGAAGCAGAGAGAAAGCTGCTGCCTTTCCGTGGTTCAGGTAAGCCTTACCAGCTCTGGAGGTGGGGCTCTTTCTTTGGGTGAGGGGTGTCAGGGAATGTTGAGGTGCACCATTGGGTTGGGCAGGCTGGATGTGATACCAGATGCATTTCCTACCCCCATGCCCTGCCTGTGTGCATCCCTGCATGCCCACAAACACACATTCTCACACTCTCTCAAGATCACGTTCCGTGCACCTAGCAAACGTTGGTGCCCTTCCAGACTTGCCATATCATTGGCTCATAGTGTTCCTAAATCTGAGCATCCTTAATGTGTTGCAGTGATCCTGGTTGCTTTTTCTGCAAGAGATTAACCTTCCTGCTCAGTCCATCGAAAATGGGGACCAGAATAGTTGCATTGTTGCACCAAAAGACAGGAACAAGAGCAAAACGGAGAGCAAGGAACAGGCACAAAATTGTGCATAACTAGATTATAATTCAGATGGGGGTTAATAAAATGTTTGCCTACATTATTCAGAGAAAAAAGAATGGGGGGAAATGCCCATTGGTTAATGTTGACTACCGCTTTGCTTTCCAGTGGAGCAAAGTGACTCCAAGCCTTCTCCGTCCTTGGATTTGGGACCCTTCTTGCTTCTGCACCCTGAGATGGAGCCCTTGGGGACGTGCACTGCTCTCCTGGTCATCGGGATAATATCCCTCCTTCTTCTTTCTGCCATCTGGAATAGCAAGATGTACAGAAAAGGGAGAATGCCCCCCGGCCCCACTCCGCTGCCCATCGTTGGGAATGTTCTGCAGCTGAAGGGCAAACAATGGGATCGGGTGTTCTCCAAGGTCAGTGGAAGAAGCAGGACCATCACCCCTTTCATACATTCCTCTCTATTGACATTCATTGTTGCTTTTGGCGCAGCGCTCAGATTTGTTAAGGCCATTTTGAGGTCTTCTAGAGAACTATCTATTGCTAAGCTATCCCTTCCAATTTGATGTCATGCAAAACTAATAAACACACCCTTTAAGCCAGTGGTTCCCAACCTTTTTATTATTTATTAATCAATTTTCTATACCGCCAGTCCCCAAAGGCTAGGAGCGGTTTACAATATACACATGTGATACATTACATTAAAACCAAGAAAATTTTCAATCAGCATATATAGGCTTCTTAAATATTCCACTATATCTTCTTTCTTTCCTTATCTGTTCTTTAAAACATAATTTCTTGTCTTGGTCTATAATATCCTTGTCAGAGGTATAGGTTTTGTCTTCATGGCAGATCTTCTTGACGTTTTGGAACTGTCTTTTTCTTCTTATTTTCCTGGCAAGCAATTTGCATTTTGGAAATGCTGTTTTATGTATTTCTTTTTTCCCCCAATTCTTCTCTTTCTTCAATAGGTCTAATTCCTGTTTAACTTCTGTATCTTTTGAGTCTTTTTGAAGTTTCTTCTCCATTTCCTCTATGGCTTTTTGTATTTTGTTTATTGTTTCCTTAGCCAGTTTATTTTTATATGCTTTTTGTTGTATTACATGATTTCTCATTACTGCCTTACTGGCAATATTTTACATCTTTGTACGTTACCATATTTCCTTCGTGTCTCTCCCATCTAAATCTAATGCCATTTTCTGGGTGTTGTCTGGTAGTGCATGTCTCAGGACTAGACTGTGACCGTGGCGGGGCGGCTGAGATGGAGGGTACAGTTATATGCTATTTGCCAAGGTGATGATTTACCCATTCTGTCAGGTTGGGGGCTCACAGTAGTCTATCGGCAATCCATCGTCGTGGTCGGATGTGCTGTTCCGCAATCGTCTGGGTTTGAGTGTGTACACCTGAGGGTGGGGAACCGAGACAGCCTGGGGTTTCTGCTGGTGTACCGCCCACCCCGCGACCCAGCAGTTTCCCTGTCTGAGCTAGCAGAGGTGGTCTCCAATTCAGCCTTGGTCTTCCAGCGCCTGGTTGTGCTGGGAGATTTTAACATCCGTGCTGAGACCTATTTGGCTGGCGCAGCTCAGGGCTTCATAGCCGCCATGACGACCATGGGTCTTTCTCAAATTATATCTGGACCCACTCATCAGGCTGGACATACACTCGACCTGGTTTTTGTAGCAGACAGTGGAATGGTCAGAGTGGAAGAACAAAACACCCTTCCTTTGTCATGGTCTGACCACTATCTGATCAGCTTTAGACTTTCTGCAACCCTCAACCTCCGCAGGGGTGGAGGACAAATTAAGATGGTTCGCCCCAGGAGACTGATGGATTCGGAGGGATTCCTGAGGAATCTTGGGGTTTTTCCTGTCATGGAGCCTGGTGATCCTGTCGACACCTTGGTTGATCACTATAACAGGGAGATGACCAGGGCGATAGATACGATTGCTCCCAAACACCCCATCACATTGCGTCGAGACACACCATCTCCCTGGTTCACAGAGGAGTTGGTTGTGATGAAACACATGAGAAGGGGGCTAGAGTGCATATGGAGGAAATCTCGATATGTGTCTGACCAAGCATGGGTTACAGCCCCTCTTAGGGTGTATACCGTGGCTATATGGGTAGTCAAGGAGTCTTTCACAACTGCCCATATAGTGTCTGCAGCAAATAGATCATCGGAGCTGTTTCGGGTTGTCGGGAAACTCCTTCATCATAATCCATTAATTCAGCAGTTAATCTCACTATTATTTGTCTTATGTTTCCCTTGCTTTCTTCTTATTTCTTCTTACTTATTTATTTATGGTATTTATAAACCGCTCTTCTCAGCCTGAAGGCGACTTGTAGATTTCTAAATCAGACTTGGTTGGGTTGGGTTAATATTTTAAGGGGCAATATTTTAATGTATTTTTATTGTCTTTTTAATGTATTTTTATAGCTGTTGATTTGTTCATGTTAATTATTGTTAATTGTTGTGTTCTGTCAGCATCTAGTGATTGCCACAAATACTCTAAATATTGACAAACTGGAATGTGTCCAGAGGAGGGCGACTCAAATGATCAAGGTTGTTTCGATTCCTGCACCAAACAAGTCCATAGAGCAGTTCACCATGTTCTCCATCGTGAACTCCGAGGCCTCATCATGTTTCTCCTAGGGATACATATCAGGATTTGTAAATTAGCTGGTATTTCTTAACAGGGTTAATACCTCAGGCCTAGCCACATGTGAAAGAGTTGCATCACTGTAATTCGGATGTGGAGGCTGATGCAATGGGAAAGTATAAAAGTCATGTTCTCCCTAATTTGGGTTGATGAGGGAGGAATAGAGGTTGTTGGAGATAATTAGAGAGTTCTGCTGGAGGAGAGAGTTTGCATATATTGTGTCTCCTCTGGACACATTCCAGCTTGTCAATATCTCTCTTGGGCACCACAATTCAAGAGAGATATTGACAAGCTGGAATGTGTCCAGAGGAGAGCGACTAAAATGATAAAAGGTCTGGAGAACAAGCCCTATGAGGAGGCTTAAGGAGCTGGGCATGTTTAGCCTGAAGAAGAGAAGGCTGAGAGGAGACATGATAGCCATGTATAAATATGTGAGAGGAAGCCACAGGGAGGAGGGAGCAAGCTTGTTTTCTGCTGCCCTGGAGACTAGGACATGGAACAATGGCTTCAAACTACAAGAAAGGAGATTCCATCTGAACATTAGGAAGAACTTCCTGACTGTGAGAGCCGTTCAGCAGTGGAACTCTCTGCCCCGGAGTGTGGTGGAGGCTCCTTCTTTGGAGGCTTTTAAACAGAGGCTGGATGGCCATCTGTCAGGGGTGATTTGAATGCAATATTCCTGTTTCTTGGCAGAATGGAGTTGGACTGGACGATAGCCCACCAGGTCTCTTCCAACTCTAGGATTCTATGATTCTATGATTCTATGAAATAAATAAATCTTAGTTGAAATCCCATTTCCCTCTAGTTCTTGCTTCCTTTCCATTTTCATTTTTTTTTATTCTAATTCCTTTATTTTATTTTGGATTTTCCCTTGTGTCTTTTCCATTCTTTGTCCGTCTTGCTTAATGTCCATCATTTCTGATTGTAGTGCATTGACTTCTTTCTTAATTGAACTCATGTCTTCTTGGATCTCTGTCTTGATCATGTTTAGTTCTAAGATTTCTTTTCTCATACTCATCATTTGATCTTGTCTGAGTTGATATGCATCTTGTTTTTCTGACTTTATTTCTCTCATGAGATTTTTCATAGATATATCCTCTGGGATATAATTTCTGTGCAAATTTATTTTATTTTTATTTTGTTTCATTTTAGGTTTTGCCATCCTTGCTTGTATTTATTTCCCATTCTAATTTTAAGTGCCTTCTCTTATATTGGTCTGTGTTCTTCTAGGGTTTTATAATTAATTGCTCCTTCTTTGTTTCTGTGCACTAGACTTCTTTTCTTGAGCTATTCTATTCCTTCCTTCTTTCTGATCTCCTTTCAGGTACTGTGTTGGGCTCGTCCTTTAGTTGGCTATCTTTTTGTTGTCTTCCTTTGTCTCCTTTATCTATGGGCTATGGTTCTGCTTCTGCTGTTCTTCTCTCTCTACTAGGCTTGGGTAACCACGGAAAAATTTGGTTCTAAACTCGTTTCGTTTTTAGGGGGGGCCTTGCGTTTCGTTTTCTTAAAGAATTCCGAAATTTTCCTTTAAAAAAGTTCGAAATATACGAAATTTCGTAAAATTACGAATCGATTCGTTAATGGCGGACGCGATTGCGCAATATGCTAAAAATCCCTCCAAATGGGAGAGGGGGAACTTCTGAAGCTTTCCTTTCCCTCTGTTGTTGACTGTTGGTGTGATAATTCATTTTTTATCACTGATAAAACAAACAACACCTAGAAAACTTGCACCAGACATACGGAAATAATTACGAAACAATTACAAAACAATTTCGAAACAATACGAAATAAATTGGAAAAGTTGTTTCGATTTTTAATTACTCCTCACAGTAGTCCTGCATGGCTCAATATTGGATCGTAAGCTAATTTAAATACGAATTAATAACGAATTACGAAATTAACAAACGAAACCGCCCAAGCCTACTCTCTACACTCTTTGCTGTCTTTTCTATTACATTCACCAGAAATTATGTGATTATTCTGTAATCATTTTTAGTGGGGGTTCTTTATTTATTGTGATGGTAAAAGCAAATGGTCTTCTGTGGTGGAGGCTCCTTCTCTGGAAGCTTTTAAACAGAGGCTGGATGGCCATCTGTCAAGGGTGCTTTGAATGCAATATTCCTGCTTCTTGGCAGAATGGAGTTGGACTGGATGTTAAGCAGAGGCTGGATGGCCATCTTTCAGGGTGCTTTGAATGCAATATTCCTGCTTCTTGGCAGAATGGGGTTGGACTGGATGATGGCCCAGGAGGTCTCTTCCCACTCTAGGATTCTATGATTCTAGTTATTTACAAGAAATTATAATAAAACCATCAGAACTATGGTTTTTTTTCCTGATTTCATATCACTTCTGTCTCGCCTATAGACTTCTTAGAGCATGATGCATTCATAGAATCCTAGAATCAAAGAGTTGGAAGAGACCTCATGGGCCATCATCCAGTCCAACCCCATTCTGCCAAGAAGCAGGAATATTGCATTCAAATCACCCCTGACAGATGGCCATCCAGCCTCTGTTTAAAAGCTTCCAAAGAAGGAGCCTCCACCACACTCCGGGGCAGAGAGTTCCACTGCTGAACAGCTCTCACAGTCAGGAAGTTCTTCCTCATGTTCAAATGGAATCTCCTCTCTTGTAGTTTGAAGCCATTGTTCCATGTCCTAGTCTCCAGGGAAGCAGAAAACAAGCTTGCTCCCTCCTTCCTGTGGCTTCCTCTCACATATTTATACATGGCTATCATATCTCCTCTCAGCCTTCTCTTCTTCAGGCTAAACATGCCCAGCTCCTTAAGCCGCTCCTCATAGGGCTTGTTCTCCAGACCCTTGATCATTTTAGTCGCCCTCCTCTGGACACATTCCAGCTTAGAGTCAATATCTCTCTTGAATTGTGGTGCCCAGAATTGGACACAATATTCCAGGTGTGGTCTAACCAAAGCAGAATAGAGGGGTAGCATTACTTCCTTAGATCTAGACACTATGCTCCTGTTGATGCAGGCCAAAATCCCATTGGCTTTTTTTGCCGCCACATCACATTGTTGGCTCATGTTTACAACAAGGACAACAAGTTAAACATGAGCCAACAATGTGATGTTCCAAATTTGGTCATATGGCCACCTGCAATATGTTTCTTTCTTCATTTTTCTCCAGATAAGTGAGAAGTATGGACCCGTGTTTACACTTTATTTGGGGACGAAACCTGTTGTGGTGCTGCATGGCTTTGAGGCCATCAAAGAAGCACTGATTGACCAGGGCAACGACTTTTCTGCAAGGGCAAAAATACCGTTCGCAGACCAATTCTTTGAAGGAAAAGGTATGCAGTTCAGATTGATCTCTCGCAGGTTAGAGCAACGTCAAAATCCCCTCTTAGGCCCCTTCCACACTGCTGAATAAAATCCCCCATTTTCTGCTTTGAACTGGAATATATGGCAGTGTGGACCCAGATAACCCATATATTATGGGATATTCTGCCTTGATATTCTGAATTATATAGCTGTGTGGAAGGGCCCTTGGTCATGGAAACTCACTACGTAATCTTGGACCAGTCACATTGTCTAAGCCACAGAAACAAAGACAATGGCAACCCTTTTATGAATAAGTCTAATGGTTTGAGTGTTCCCTGAGACCTCTCAGATAGGTTAGAGATGTATTACACCTATGTTGATATGTGGTCTTTTGAATATAATGGATGCTCATCATGGAAGTTTGCACACAAACATACATGGGTCTAGCAATAATTGGGTTGGAGATCATTATCTCATTGCACACTGTTATTTCCCTTCATTGAATGTCAGTCCTCTAATGATGATGATGATGATTTATTTGTAGACTGTCCTCTCTCCTCAGGGCAGTTCACACACAAAAAGACAAACATTCAATGCCCATAAGTAAATACAAACATTTCAAAATAATGCAAAATAATACAAAATAATAACTGTAAACTTGTAACAAAAGATAATTTAACATTAAAATGAAAAAAAGGAATACGAGTAATCAAATAAACATAATTATACTAATAACATAATTAACATAACATAATTATAAAAAAAACATAAATCCTAAGAGAATGATTAAAACACATAAAAATGGCTATCACGGTTGTTCTTTAACCTGTTCCATAGCAGCAGTGCAATACAAATAAGTTAGCTTATTTATTCATTTATTTATTTACTTACTTACTTTGCTTGTATACCGCAGTTTCTCAGCCCGTAGGCGACTCAACGTGGTTCACAACAAGAGCAAAAAGTCAATCCAACAACATACAAAATTTAAAAACCATTAACAACATAATATACAGAATAATGACACATCAATAACAACACATTAACGTCTCGTAACTAGAATCGTGATCCAATTCGTCATCCATAATTCCGTTTCCTATACTCATCGTTCATTGCACTATTTATCCGAACGCCTGTTCAAACCAGGTTTTTAGTTTTCTTTGAAACACCATTAACGAAGGGGCTGATCTAATGTCCATGGGAAGGGCGTTCCACAGCCGAGGGGCCACCACAGAAAAGGCCCTGTCCCTCGTCCCCGCCAGCCGTGCCTGTGATGCAGGCGGGATCGAGAGAAGGGCCTCCCCAGACGATCTCAAGGTCCTCGTGGGCTCATAGGCCGAGATGCGGTCAGAAAGGTATTTTGGGCCAGAACCGTTTAGGGCTTTGTAGGCCAGCACCAGCACCTTGAATTGGGCCCGGTAGCAGATCGGCAGCCAGTGGAGCTGGTACAACAAGGGCGTTGTATGCTCCCTGAGTCCCCTCCTGTTAGCAACCTGGCTACCGAACACTGGACCATTTGAAGCTTCCGAGCAGTCTTCAAAGGCAACCCCATGTAGAGAGCATTGCAGTAGTCTATACAGGATGTAACCAGAGCATGGACTACCGTGGCCAAGTCAGACTTCCCAAGGTACGGGCGCAGCTGGCGCACAAGCTTTAACTGTGCAAATGCTCCCCTGGTCACCGCTGAAACCTGGGGTTCCAGGCTCAGCGATGCGTCCAGGATCACACCCAAGCTGCGAACCTTATGAAATTCGAAGTGTCTTAGTCCTCCTCCTCCTTTTTTGACAGAGAGGGGAGTGGGGCCATTTCTATTTCTTTAGGGAAGGGGTTCCTCCATTGACCACAGTGCACAAAATGACCTCTATAGGAAGGTGTGATTAGATAAATAGCATGGACCCGAACTATTTAGGGCTTTATAGATAATGACCAGTACTTTCACCCACTCCACCAGTCCCCCCCTTGGCCGATTTTAATAGCCAGGATGGGCAAGGGTCCAGAGAACAAGTGGTCAGCCTCAGTCCTCCCGGGATCTTGTCCACATCCTCAAGCTGGAAAGAATCCATTCAACAAGGACAAGCAGATGCCTCACTCACATTCACCGAGAACACATTAACACTGGGGTCTAAATCAGAGCAGATCAGAGTGACTTTGTCCGCAAAGAACCTGGCAAACTCTTCAGAATGAACTGCCAGTCGGTGAGGAGTCCCTGGATGAACAGGGTTTAGAAGTCGTGACCACTCATAACAATCTCTTGGGCAGTTATTTGTGGATGCAATGTTGGCGGCATATTTTACATATCTTACATTTAGGAAGTGAATGGTACTCTATGTGTAAATATAGGAATGCCTCCTAAGGAAATAAAGAAAATGCAAAAATTCAGTCCTTATGAAAATATGAAGCATTCCACACAGCCTTTGTGAAATGGATGTAATGGGCTCCTCACCAAAGGTGAAGGTGTTTCTCCCAAAGGGGAACATACATTTGTATACCTATTGTTGTTAAGAAATAGCTTAAGACTAACAGAAAGCCTTGTTGCTCCCTCCTGAGATTACAAGACTTAAGAGTGCTTCAGTGGCGTAGGGGTGCCTATTAGGACCATGGTACCCGATAGGGCTGGGCAACCACAGAAAAAATTGTTTCTAAACTCGATTCGTTTTTTGGGGGTTTTTGCGTTTTGATTTTTAAAAGAATTCCAAATTTTTTCTTTAAAAAAGTTCGATATTTACGAAATTTCGGAAATTACGAAACAATTTCGAAACAATAACGAATCGATTCGTTAATGGCGGACGCGACCGCGCAATACGCTAAAAAACCTCCAAATGGGACAGGGGGAACTTCTGAAGCTTCCCTCTCCCTCTGTTGTTGACTGTTGGTGTGATATTTATATTTTTTTTTTCACTGATTAAACAAACAACAACTATAAAACTTGCCCCAGACATGCGGAAATAATAACGAAACGATTTCGAAACGAATACAAAACGAATACAAAACAATTACGAAACGAATTGAAAAATTCATTTCGATTTTTAGTTGCTCCTGAATGGTTCGTTATTGCTTCGTTATAAAAAATAACGAATTTTTAACGAATTATGAAATTAACGAACGAAACCGCCCAGCCCTAGTACCCGAGTTGAGAGTCCCAAGTTGAGACCCTCAATCCCTCAGTCTAGAATCATAGAATCATAGAATCAAAGAGTTGGAAGAGACCTCCTGGGCCATCCAGTCCAACCCCTTTCTGTCAAGAAGCAGGAATATTGCATTCAAATCACCCCTGACAGCTGTATAAAGAGATAACACTGAAGATCCATGTGTATTTGGCCATTTCCCCTCACCTTGACCCTGCCTACCCTCCCATCATGGTCTCTTCCTTCACCTGTTCCAGGGATCATATTCAGTAATGGGAAGACATGGAAGCAGATGCGGCGTTTTACCTTGACCACCTTCCGCAACTTTGGGATGGGGAAGAAGAGCATTGAGGAGAGGATGCAGGAGGAAGCTCGGTATCTCATGGAACAATTCCATGGCTCAAAGGGTAAGTGGACTCTATTGCCCATCCCCACCCCAAGGACTTTCCAGGAAATTCCTCCTGGCATGGCTTGTCAAAAGGCTCTACATTCAAACTCTTGCATGGACCTTAGTTTTGTAGAACTTCTAGGTACAGGGTTTCCCATACAAGGGACTTTCCCTCCTGCTCACCCCTGTGGCATAATGTAAAATAAACCACATGTAGTTCACACTTGATCAGCCCACATACTGCCTTGTCAAGGAAAATAGGTCATGCAGGTGAAGAGTAAAGAATTAGTAGTATACTCTTCTTAATTTGGAACAACATGTACAATATGATCGGTTGCATCATGTGCAGTTGCACGCTGTGCCTGTGCATAAGACATAAATTCTGTGTGCCCAATGGGACGCCGGGGCTGCCTCAGATTAAAGACCCTTGGACCTCCCCAAAACAAAATCTTTAGATTGCTTAAAGGTTCAACAAAGTTCTTTATTAATGAAAACAAACAGGTATTTCAAGGCTTTCTTAACAGTCTATTGGCTCTTTCAATCTTGTCCACCAGGAAAAGGCACTATCTTCATGACTGGTATTTTAACTAATGGGGAAATCCTTAACTACTAATCTGGGCAGTCTGTCTTTGCCTCTGTTGGCGTGGAGCCCCTGCACCAAGTACCAACTGCGTCTGGTTTCCGCGAGCGACCCTTACCAAGCAGAGCTTTGTAGACTTCCAGGGGAAAAGAAGGAGTTCAGGTTTCAGTGATGGCTGACTGAAGTCCCTCAGCAAAGGAGCTGTAAGGCTGTATGATCCTCGGCCAAGCTGTGGGCTGTATAACCCCGGCCAAGCTGTAGGCTGTATATCTCCCCAGCCAAGCCATAGAAGACGAAGCTTTCTACAGGAGCTCTTGGTTTCATGTCCTGTATGGAAAGCTGCTCTGTGTGGACTGGCCCAAAATGGCTCCTATTCCCTCTAAAACTCAAAAAGGGGCGGGACCAGGGAACCTATCTATAATTGACAGGTGGCTTGCTCTATGAGTGCAGCCAAAAGAAGCCACCTTTCAGAGTCCCTGAAACTTAGGACTACAACAAATATTCAATGCAAAGCAAACAAAATGGGAGCTCCTGGTACCTGCACACATCAACTCACATTATGTCCTTTCATGAGAGATTTAAAACGCAATTTCTTTGTCCATGTGGATAAACTCCTTGAGCAGCTCAAGAAGCAAGTGCCCACTCCTAACTTTGTGTCTCTCTGCTTCTCTCTGCTTCTCTCTCTGCACTTGCGTAGCTCAAGGACCAACCCAATCCACGGAAACAGATCAAGAGTTTCCAGGCTGAGTCAAATAGGACTGATTTCCTAAATGTTGGATTGGGATGAGACTGTTGTGCTTTCCCCCTTCCAGGCCAACCCTTTGACCCACACTACCTCGTCACCTCTGCTTCCTTCAATGTCATCAGTAACGTCATCTTTGGAAAGCGCTACGGATATGACGACAAGAAGCTTCAAACCTTGATTGCCATGCTTGATGAAAACATTAAGATTTTCAACTCTATTTGGGCACAGGTAGGCCCTTTTCTCTCTTTGCTTGTGGGGTGATATTTCTCCTTAAGGCCTCATCTGCACTCATCCTTTACTACAATTCCAGGTTATCTCCAAAACACGGCAGCCAGACTATGTGCACTGCAGCGTGCTTTAGGTCTGTTAAGTGAAAACAAGCAAAGCCAGGGGAAAGTCCGAAAGGAAACTCTTAAGCCTCATCGGAGCACTCCAGTATAAACCACATCACACAGAGAAATCAGCTCCACAGAATGCAAATTGCCGTGCGGACACTCAGAGTCCTCTGTTTTTATTTATTGGATCAGAAGCGAACCAAGGGTGCCATTGTAGTGTAGTTAGAAACCACAAAGTTTAAAAACGTGGCATTATTCTGAATAATATCCTTTGACCAGTAGCTGTGAGAAGGTCCACCACCGTGCATGTGGCAGGGCACGGGCTGCGTTGTAATAGTGGGTCTGTGGTTTGCTCTTGTCCACACTCGCATTTCATGGACTCCACTTTGTGGCCTCATTTCTTAAGGTTGGCTCTGCATCTTGTGGTGCCAGAGCGCAGCGTGTTCAGTAGGGCTGGGTAACCACGGAAAAATTTGTTTCTAAACTCAATTCATTTTTAGGGGGTTTTTGCGTTTCGTTTTTTAAAAGAATTCCGAAATTTTTCTTTAAAAAAGTTCAAAATATACGAAATTTCGTAAATTACGAAACAATTACGAAACAATTACGAATCGATTCGTTAATGGCGGACGCGATTGCGCAATACGCTAAAAAACCCTCCAAATGGGACAGGGGGAACTTCTGAAGCTTCCCTCTCCCTCTGTTGTTGACTGTTGGTGTGATAATTTATTTTTTATCACTGATAAAACAAACAACAACCCTAAAACTTGCACCAGACATACGGAAATAATTACGAAACAATTACAAAACGATTTCGAAACAATTACGAATCGATTACGAAACAATTACGAAACAATTACGAAATAAATTGAAAAAATTCGTTTCGATTTTTAATTACTCCTGCATGGCTCAATATCGGATCGTAAGCTAATTTAAATACGAATTAATAACGAATTACGAAATTAACGAACGAAACCGCCCAGCCCTAAGCTCATCCCCTTCCAAGTTGCCCAGTCCTCTGTGTGCCCAGGAGGGAGTTTCTCATTTGGTATCAGCCATGGATTGAGGTTCTGGGTTTGAGCCTGCCACTTTTGGACTCTCGCATGTTGAGGTGTTCTTAAGGCCTTAAGAACCATTGCTAACAACAAGGCAGCAGGAGACGATGGGGTCCCAGCTGAACTGTTTAAAATCTTGAAAGAGGATGCTGTCAAGGTGATGCATGCCATATGCCAGCAAATATGGAAAACACAAGAATGGCCTTCAGACTGGGAAAAAAATCATACTGGCTCAGCTGGTTCGAGGTTTTGGGCTTGAGTGTTACCAGTACGCTGATGACACTCAGCTTGTGCTGAAGATGGAAGGCCGACCGGACTCTGTATCCGATTGTTTCCATCAGTGCCTCGAGGCCGTTACTGGATGGCTGTGTGCCAGCAGGTTGAGAGTGAATCCAGCAAAGATGGAGATCCTATGGCTGGGTCAACCGGGCAGTGGGGATATCCAGCTGCCTACCCTGGATGGCGAGGCGCTACGCCCGTCATCATTGGTCAAGAGTCTGGGAGTCCTTTTGGACCCTCTGCGGACAATGGAGGCCCAGGTCTCTCTCCGCCGTGAGCAGAACCGCCTTCTTTCACCTGCGGCAGGCTAGACGGCTGGCCCCCTCCCTGTCCAGGGACGACCTAGCTACGGTGATCCAGGCCACGGTCATCTCAAGACTGGACTACTGTAACGCTCTCTACATTGGCCTTCCTCTGTCGGTGATCCGGAAGCTCAAGTTGGTACAAAATGCAGCTGCTCGGCTTCTTGCGGGAATTCCGATGAGATGCCACATAACCCCAATCTTACTGCAGCTGCATTGGTTGCCAATTGAGCACCGGATCACTTTCAAAGGGATGGGACTCACCTTGAAGGCCTTGCATGCTCTAACAGCAACCATATGATCCATAATTTCACCTCCTTCCTTGCAAAGTCTACACATGGAATCTGTTGCTTACTTTTCTTTAATGGCATTGGTTCTTGGGCTGCAAGAATCAGACCCTTCATCTCCTTTCTCAAAGTTCCATTTGTGAGCCATAAAACATGGTAAATTCTCAATTTTGCTCTCAAATCTTCCCTGGAATTCTCCGTGGAGAGCCTTCTTTTGCCAGTTTTTTCTTCTTTTCTGCTCTGCATTGTATTTTTATGCTATTCCCTCTTTGTCTTTTGCACTTTAAGGAGTTTTCTACTATTGACTTCCATCAATGTTGAGTCCAGGCTGCCTCTCCCATAATCTGCCAGTGCATGTTTCTATTCTTCTACTGTTTGCAGAAAACAAGCTCGTCCCTTCCTCAATCTGAGCACCCTCCAGATATTTGAACCTGGCTCTCATGTCACCTCTTATTGTGTAACAACGCCTTCCCCCTTTTCTTCTAGCTTGTCAGTGTCTTCCCTGCCCTCATGGAATGGGTCCCAGGGCCCCATCAGCACGTAATACAAAGCTATGTCAAATGCAGAGAATTCATTTTGGAGGAAGCCAAGGAGCACAGGGCTACTCTGGACCCCAACTCACCTCGGGATTTCATCGACTGCTTCTTTATCAGAATGGATCAGGTAAGAGAGCGCCCTGGGACCCATAACCAGGGGCCATCCTCAGGCACCAAACTCTAGTGACATGGACTCTGGTGTCTCTGTGATAGAGTTCCATTGGACTCCTAAGGAATTCTCCAAAGTGCCCAATCTGACCACTTGGGGAGCTCATTGGAAGCCCCTCCATCCTGGGACCCCCAACAGCCAATGAGAGATGCCACTGTTCCTTAGTATTCTTTACCTAAGAAAACCTGGATTCAGGGAGTTACTGAAGTTGGCCACTGATCTGAAGGTGGAGGGACTCCAAGACATCTCCTGGCATTGCCTGGGGGAAGTTCAGTGCAGAGAGTGGTTCAAGGCCCCAAAATCAAGGCCAAAGAAAGCCAAGTGTCCAGTGTTATCCCAGGTAGTTCCTCTGAATGAATGGGGGTGGGGGGAGAGATGCCACGTGAGGCCAGGTCAGCCCCCACTCTCAACTCTTTCTCTAAGGAGAAGAGCATTTTATTTAAAAGAGATTTCATGGTT